TGGCCAAAATCATGCTAGAACAAGGGTCAAAGCCTAAAGCATGTTAAGGCAAATTCATGGCATTACAAGACAAGTATGCAAGGCATGCATGGTGTGTCTAAACCAAGTAAAAACAGTGCTATATCATGGAAAAATAAGCACAAATAACACTTAAGACATGGCCAACATGAACTTAAAAATGGTGCTCACACATGAGGCTAAAATAACACTTTTTGAAGACAACAAGGAGAAGGGATGACCCTCTCCTTCTTAGGACCTTAAGACACCATCCCCACCACTGAAATCCCTCAAGATTTCAGTGGTGAGGAGGCCCAAACAAGGTGGTCCCGGAGCTCACCAAAATAGCACAAAATGGGGGCCAAACAAGGCCTAAGAGGGGTCAAACAACCCCAAACAACAAAGTGACCTCAAACAACTATTTAAAGCACTCAAAAACAAGACTTTTTCAGTTTATGACAAAGCCCAAAATAGCATGCAAGACAGGCTAAAAGTATGTGCAAAAATGGGAAATAAAGAGGGTAAGGAGTGTCACCCTTGTAGCCAAGAAGCTCCAGCAGCTTATGGACCAAAAATGTAGGCCTTCAACCTCTGAAAACCAGCTCCACCTTAGAGTGATGGAGGAAGCGTGTGGTTGTGAGGTGGTGTGTAAAGGGGTCAAGAACCAACATTTATGGAGCTTGGATATAGAGATATAGAGAGATACAACTCTTGTATGCCTTAGACCAATTGTTGAGATGAGCTCTTCTTTTATAGAGGAAGAAGGGTCCAAGCTTCTTTTAGAAGCTTGGAGCAAAAAGGGCCAAAGGGCCAAGCTTCTTGGAGAAGCTAGGCAAAAGGGCCAAGCTTCTTGGAGAAGCTAGACAAAAGGGTTCAAGCTTCTTGGAGAAGCTAGACAAAGGGTTCAAGAGGTTCAAGCTTTCTCAAGAAGCTAAAACCAAGGATTTAAAAGGTTCAAGCTTCCTCAAGAAGCTAAAACCAAGGGTTCAAAAGGTTCAAGCTTCCTCAAGAAGCTAGAACCAAGGGTTTAAAAGGTTCAAACCCCCTCAAGAAAAGGTCTCGGCCAGAAAAAGTGGCCGATTGACCAAAATCAGTGGCCGGTCGACCAAACACAATGCCGACCGACCATCAATAGTGCCGATCGGCCATCACCAATGGCTGGTGGCAAGGAAACAAGGCTGGTGGCCTCAAGTCATGGCCGGTGAGGTGTGGGGATGGCAAACAAGCTATTTCCCATCCTCAGAAGCAAAACAACAAGTGTTTGATGCAAAACCAAACACAAAACAAACAAGTCGAGAGGTCTTGAGGTAAGGCGCGTAACCGAAAACATAAACAAGGGTAATCATCGATTGTTCAAACGATGACGTCCAAGTCTTAAGGACGGTCAAAAATGGGGTGTCTACAGGTGTGTTGCACCAAATTTGGATTTTAGAGTAGACACAGAATAAGGACAAAATACAAATTTATTTGTGGCATAAGTAGAAATGTTCTTGTCTTGGGGAGTGATAGTAATGAGTTGGTAATGAGTATTGTTTGACCATGACTAGGATAACAAGATTGAATTTGGGTGAGACTGTTTTGGTATGATTGTTTCGAGAATGAGGAGCCCAACTCTTGAAGAAGGTCAACATTGAGAGTCCATCCATGAACTTGAGAGAAGAGGAATAAATTGGAGAAATTCTATTTCCACACACTTGATTAACTCAGTGCATATCTTTTCTCTAAATTTTTTTTTATTACATTTCTATCTTTCAATCAAATTACCAACACACACCTTAATTTCTCCCTCTCAACTTAATCCTAACATTTGCCATTTCCGACTACCGGCAGTCACCTTCCTCCCTTCCAATCATCACCACCTTCATAGCATTTCTCTCTTCTTGCCCGACATCCATTACATAGACTGTTTTGGAGTTGTGTTGCTCAAATGTTGGTGCCATGACTTTTAGAGAGAGAGAGAGAGAAAAAAGAGAAAGAATTGGGAGTTTGGACAGAGAGAAACAGAGTGGTGAGCTGGGTTCTCTTTTTCTCTATCTCTCTAGCCGTTGCGATTCATTCCCCATCATTGCAATTCATTCTAGCCAAGGGTTTTCATATCTTTGTTGGCGGCGGAGAAGGGTGGCACGAGTTGCAGCAAGGAGAGGCGACCTGGGGTGAGGTGGTCGACGAAGAAGTGGCGGCGAAGGTGTGAAGTCTGAGATCAACTGGGTTCTTCACAGATCCGATCTGAGAGCGGCGATGGAGAGGAGGAAACAATAGTGGAATGGGGAGAAGGCTGGGAAGGGGCGGCGGTCGTGGGAGGTTGAGAGAGGCTGAGAAGGAAAAAGCGCCGGTAGGAGGCGGTGGTTGCTGACAATGGTTAGGGTTAGGATTTGTTGGAGAATATGAGGATAATTTAGTATTATTTGAAAATTATTGATGTGCATTGAGACAAAATTAAAAGTTCTAATTTGTGTATGGTGTAAATTGAGTAAATGGTATATACTAAGATAAGTAAGAATGTGTAAATAGAATTACCCGAGGATATACTGATGGTTATGTTGCCGCAGTCGAAGACGTTGACTTGGATAGCTAAGAGGATTAAGAATGGCAACGGGTCGGGGATCACATTTCTCATCCTCGATCCCCGATAGTGGAAATTCTCCCGTCCCTGGCCCCGATCCTCGACGGGAAACTTATCACCACCCCCGCCCTTTAATGGGGATCGGGTTTTCCCGACCCCGAAAATTTCCTAGCCAAAAAAAAAAAAAAAAAAAAAAAAAAAAAGCTCTAGAAAATACAAGAATTCATCAACAACAACAACATCAACATCATCAACAATAACAACAACAACAACAACATCATCATCATCAAATCATATCTGTTTATCATCACCATCATCATCATCATCAACAACAACATCACAACTATACACTAGAATTCACATATATATTCAATAGATCAAACAAATCTGAGCGCAAATGTAAAAAATAAAAAATCTAACACATTAAATAGATCATCATTTTCTTCATCTTCATCAACAACAGATCTTAGCTCAAATCAAAAAACGTCTTCATCATTTTCATTAACAACAAAATCTTCATCTTCATCTTCATCATTTTCTAGTTTTGAAGAACAAAAGCAAAAAACAAAGAAAGAGAGAGAGAGTAACTAGAGAGAAGGAGATACAGTGAGAGAGAGAGTAGGAGATATTGTGAGAGGAAGAGGAGGAGTCGCCGCTAATGAGAGAGAGATGAGAAGTTGCCGCCGTAACGTCGTGAGGGAGCCGGTGAGAAAAAGAGGAGGAGTCGCCACTGCCGATGCCATGAACACCTGCAGCAGATAGAAAGAGGGAGAAAGGCTGAGAGAAAAGAAGTGAGTGTGAGTGGGAGTAAGAGAGGTTGAAAATTGCCATCTCTAAAGAGGATCTGGGTGTCTCTATTGGGATACCATGTTAGTCTGGAAAAATAAGTACAAATTTTATGTTAAAATTGAGAGAAAAAAAATTTAATTAACATGCAATTTAAGAATTTGTAAAGTTAAATAAAATTTAGAAAGGTAGCCTGTGAGTAGGGATGAATTGGGAATTTCTTATTTAGGGTGCCAAAAATAGGTCTATAAAAACTATAATGAGGGAATTTCTAATTTCGGTGCCAAAAATAGGTCTATAAAACTATTCAAGATAAAAAAAAATTATACTCACTTTTCAAATTTAATGATGTGTCAATTAATTAAGATATTAAAGATAACACTATCTTTCATATATTCTCTAATTATCAACAAATCATATTTTGGGATGACCTAAATAAGTGTACTTTTTGTCTTTTTACGAAAAATGTGCAAAAAGTAGAAAGGTGATGTGATGGAAAAAAGATAAAAAGATGAATTATTTTGGTGTTGCCAAACTTGACTTAAGTTTAAAAAATGAGTCTTAAAAATAAACTAGTATATAATTTTCTTATTTTAAATAGAAAAATAGAAAAATAATTTGTAGGGATAAAGTTATAATAACTAGTGTGAAGATAGATCTTAGATATAATGAACCTAAGCAATACGCAATGATTGATGTCATCGTCATGGGCTGTAGGCCGAAAGTCATCCTAATAGGCCGTGCTCTAAAAAATAACATTAATTCAGTCTGAATTAATATATACATCAAAATATTACAAATTTATTTTTTTAATACATATTAAATAAAAGAAAATATTTGGAACCCCACGAAAGAGGACCCTCATTAACCTCCACTGATACATTAACCATTGATGTGTTTGAATTTTTTTTGAGAATTGTGTTTAACAATGACATGAATGGTTCAGATTATTTTGGAGTTGTGGGGGTTGTGTTTTGTAGGAGTCTCTATCATTACTGTTAAATAAATTATCAATCAAAATAGCTCTCGAGCACTCTTCATGTGAACTATCCATTTTTTTTTGTCTTTTTCTAAATTCTGAACAAGGGACTAGTTGAACATGGCACGAGTGTCACATGTACATGTGACTTACTATTTTGTGTTTAGGAATAAAAGAAAGATATCAGAAATTAGATTGCTCATTTTAAATTAATGGAACTTAAGAATGGTCACGGGTCAAGTTTAGGGAGAGTTTATAAAAATCCGTCCTCACCTTCTATCATCTCGAAGGCAGAACAAATCGGGGGATGAAAGCGGGGCGGATGTGGGAGGAGAGGCAGGTTAATTTTGCAAATTGAAAAATAAAAATTATAGATGTTGATGAGTAACAAATACGTCAAATTAAGTGAAAATACTCATTCATTACTGCTCAGTTAATAAGTCAAATAATACTCCCACCCTTATCATTTCAACTCCAAGTAATGCATAATATCATTCAACAGCGATATTTAAAATTGTTTAACCACTGTTTGGTAACAAATTTTTTTTTTCTTTTCAAAAAATAAAATATAAAAAAGGCTAAAGAAGGGGGAAAAAACAAAAACAAAAACAAAACTAGTAGTACTTAAAAATAAGGTATCACTGAAAATTGCCTTTACTAATTTATTCGAAAGCAGCCGAATAAATCGCCTCATTTGCTAGTATTTCAGAAGACTCATTGTACAGTTTTCTCCATACAACAGGCACATGAAAGTGACTTATATATAACAATTAGATCCGAAATATGGAAGAAGATTCAAAGTCCACTCATGCTCAAACCAGAAAAGTTGTTTACTATCCCAACCATTCCTATCAAGTAAATTTCCAGGCGGCCAAATTTTGAAGCATGTAAGTAGTAACTAACATGAACTGAAAGAAAAATCAATCCTCTCTATTGGGCAGCCTACTGAGAACAGAGTGCTCTGGTTTGTGTTGACACTCATAATCAAGATGAACAAATGCCCTTTCAACTTCAGGAAGTTTCTCTATCTTCATCTGCAGGGTCTCTCCTATGGCATGTGCTTCTTTCAATGGTAACTCTTCAGGAAGTTCAATGTCAACCTGTGTTTTCAACAAAGTTATAAGAAATAACATGATCGAGACTCTGCTCTCTCACTAGCAAAACATTCAAGAAAAAGGAGTGCTTGGAGCCAATTCTCCATTAATAAACCAATAACGGAAAACTCTACTATTTCCACTACTGACCTCTACAAAATACAGAACACCAAAAGTGTAAGCACGGACTGTGTCAATACGCTTGACTTGGGGATGCCTTATGACGAGATAAGTCATCTTCTGCAAGACTTCAGGGGAAGCTGATTGTCCCACAAGTGACACTGCATCAACAAGCCCATCTTCGATTTAAATCTCCCAAGAAATGGATAGTTAGCGCAAGTAAACGGTACAAACATTGTAAAATATGCTACCAAATATACTCCAAAAGTTTATTAAAGAAAATATGAGCTCTTGAACACAATTAAAGCTTTCCACCTTCATTTTCAAAATCAACATTTTTATCTACAACTTACCCCCAAGTTAAATCCTCACCAAAAGTGGATTAAACCAATTGTATCTTCTTAGACCCTACTTTTCTTAGATTTTGACACCAACTAGCATTCAAATTTTGCATCAGCTTAAACATTAGGTCTTCATATACAGAATATTTGGTCCACCTCATAGCTCACCAGGTGGAATGTGCATGTTCCCTACGTGAATACTGAGGCACTTAATGTCCTTTGTTGAATCAATCAGTTGGTTTAAGTTCATCCGTGATGATATGGGTGAAAACCTTCAGGAATTCATTTCAAAAATAAAAACAAAGCTCATAAAAATTGCTTTGGGCTTTCTTATTGAGAAGCTCTTTCTTATAGATGGGGTTATACATCCAAGATGGTTGATAACTTTTCTCCATCATAATTGTCCCAAAGAACTATACTGTCAACTCATTTCAGCACCTTATTTTTCTTTTCCTCACCGCAGCTTGCTTTTGTTCACTCGTCTCGAGAATTTTGAATCATATTTTGAACTTCCAATTGAACTTGATGTCCAAAGAAGGATTAATCAAACCCAAGACAAGAATTTTACATTCAGATTGCGACACCAACTAGCATCCAGATATTCAGCTTATGCATTAGGTCATAATATAGAATATCTGGTCCACTCCTGCAGCCAATGAGGCAGAAAGTGAACATCCCTTGGCTGAATTGCATGTTCATTAGATATTCTTTCCTGAAGAAGATTAACCAACCTACAATTCTTCTTCTATTCTTAATTTTGCAGTACAATAAAAGTTAGCAGACTAATGTTGTGTTTGGTTGGGAGATTTGAAAAGAGAAAGGGAAAAGGTGTGTGAAATTATGTGAAATTTAAGCATATTTTATTCACATTTCACCTATCTTTTCTATTTTCCTTTCCAAATCCCTCCTCAAATCCTCCAACCAAACACAACATAAGTATTCACCAATCTTCCACTTTATGGTAAATTTTGTTAGATAATTTTTAATAAAAAATAATTGTTCAATTCTTTGTTGTTACAATTTTCAATGTGGTTTAAACATTTTGGTTATAATATTTATACTCATTATTACATTTATTATACCAAAATTTAATGATTTATGGTCATGTTTGATTCACAAGATTAATAGTGAAGTATTAATAATCCTATTAAATTAGTGTGGTATTCACTATCCAATTGGATTAATATCCATTGGATTAATAATCCCACCCCTACCCCATTACTAATAATCCTACAAATTTGTTGGATTAATTATCCATTGGATTAATAATCCTAAACCAAAATGTTAAAACAAACATAGGATAATTGGGCCCACGGATTAATAATCCCAATCCCATGCTCTAATCCACCCAATCAAACATGCCCTAAATGTAATCGTAAATTCTCGAACATTTTGCTTTTATTGGTATTTGGGTAAATTATACTTTGTCCCCTTAAAGTTTCACCCATTTCCCACTTTGGCTCTTTAAGTTTGATTTTTTCCATTTTAGCCCTTCATGTTTGCAATCTTTCCCACTTTGACCCTTGCAATCCTTCTTAATTTACTCCTAGACTAACTTCCATTTAAAAAACTAACAAAATCTGCCACATCACCAACACATTAGCTCCATGTGTGATTAAAAAATTCACTAAAGATGCAAAGAATGAAAAATATAAAACAAAAAAATTGGAATTTTTTTGTTAGTCTATAGCGAACTTTTTTTTCAAATTTATTCATAGACATTATTACATTATAGATGCATTTAGATTAGATGCACCTAAAAAAAAAAAAAAAAATTGAACTAAAAAAAGAAAAAAGTTTACTAAAGACGAAAAAAAAAATGAAAATATACTAACTCAAACACCTGTATTGTCAATTCTGAAATGAAAAATTTACTATTGTTTTTTTTTGTTTTTTTCATCTTTAGTAACATTTTTCTTTCTTTAGTTAAACTTGTTTTTATTTTTTTAGATCCATCTAAGCTAGATACATCTATAATAATGTAATAATGTTTATGAATAAATTTGAAAAAAAGTTTACTAAAGACAAACAAAATTTTCAATTTTTTTTGTTTTCCATTTTTCATTTTTTGCATTTTTAGTGAATTTTTTACATCACATGTGGAGCTAATGTGTTGATGATGTGGCAGATTCTGTTAGTTTTTTGGATGGAAGTTAGTCTAAAAGCAAAGTGGGAAGCATTGCAAACATGAAGAGCCAAAGTGAGAAAAATCAAACTTAAAAGGCCAAAGTGGGAATGATTGCAAACATGAATGGCCAAAGTGAGAAAAATCAAATTTAAAGGGCCAAAGTAGAAATGATTGCAAACATGAAGGGTCAAAGTGAGAAGGATTTCAAACATGAAGGGCCAAAGTGAGAAAAATCAAACTTAGGGCCAAAGTGAGAAATAGGTGAAACTTTATGGGGGCAAAGTGTAATTTACCCGTAGTATTTAATTCTCATCTATTTCAAACCTCTATATATATCTATGGTTTTATAAAAGATTAGAGACACCAAAAGGTGATTTGAAATATGACATGGTTTGAGATAGTTTTTCACATATATATATATATATATATATATATAATATACTAGTAAGAAATGCCCATGCAAGGCATGGCCTTTCTAAGGTATACATGGCAATCAATAATTATGATAAAAAAATACTTGATATTTCTAAAAATATATATATTTTTAATTTGATCTATAATGGTATGGCATGATAAATGTCAATTTTTTTTTATTTATCATATACTCAATTATATAGGACCCAATTCTTCTGTCACATCAGTGTCAAGTGAATTCGTGAGTTTAAAACATTTTTATAATATAATCTTATTGTAGTTAATAGGTAAATGTTATATAAAAATTATTTTTTTACAAAAAAAAAAGAAGAAGTTATAATCAACATCACAATAGGTCATAACCCAAACTCCACTGGAGGTGTATTCAATTTTCGATCATAACCAACATAATAATTATAGTAGGTCATAATCAAGTCATATCCAACATTGCAATGAGTCATAATTAAATATCACAAAAGAGCATAACTGAGACACATGGCACAATCTTTTTTGAGCCTTAGTTTTGTCCAAACTATTGATTCCTTTCAAGGCATCACACATTTGAGTCAAAGTTGAAGGTATAATATTTTACGATTGATGAAAGGTACCACGTAACATTATGATTTAGTGTACCAATACGTACATAATAGTTTTTTCTACCAGTAACTTTTCCTCCATCAAAGAGAAATGATAAATTTGTAATTTCAGTGATCGAACATATGTAAATTTGTAATTTCCTTGATCCAACATATGCAAGACAATTTACTGGAAAGGCTATCATTGGTGAAATAAGAAGCAGCTCAAAGGCAAGGAAAAACAGATCGAAAGTGAAAAAAGGGCCTTGTTTTACTGTAGCAATAGGCAAGAGCCTCTTATAGTATATATATTGTCTTTCCTAAACCAACTAGAACAAAAAAAGGAAACTATTAAAATATTTGACTTCTAAAACTAATTTAAGACCAAATAAGAAACATAAATAAAAACTAAGTAAATAACTTGACCCATAACATAACCCATGGGTGACCCCTACAACCCATGTCAGTAAATATAAAATTACCAAAATATCCCTCACCTAAAAATCCTAAAAACATAAAAATAATCATAAAATAAGACTATAATTTTACTAGAAACATGATTATGTATGGTTCCTATCGATTTCACTTTGAAACCATTCCAATTTCCAAATATCGCCGCTTCTTTGAATTTACTCTTCCTTGAGCTTCTTATACTCTACATCACTAGTCTCACATCGTCTCTTTAAGCCACCCAAGCTTGGTTAATATACTTTAGTTGAGAGCCCCACCCCAAACAAACTCATTGTTAATTGGCTGAGTTGGTTGCTTTAATAGCAATGACCTCACAAACAGAAGACCAGTTGTGGCTAAGTTGGATGCTTTAATAGCAACGACCTCACAAACAGAAGACCAGTTGGTGTCTCAAAATGGTTTGAATATGTTTTGACCCAGTTTCAATTTCAGATGCACATTGGACAGCATTACTACTAAGAGAAACAACTTAATTGTCAATCCAAAAATTCAACAGTCTTCCCTGGAAAATGGGATAGTTGTTCCAATCCTCTAGTCCCAAAATGTAATTGTATCCTATATGCTACAACCAAGAGGGCTAATATGAGAGGTCAACCTAACCGGAAACAACAAATAGTGGCCTAACACGTTTTAAGTGTGGTGAAGCGAGGCACAAAATGGAAGATTTCTAAAAGGATAGTGTTTATGGTAAAGGGTTGTTCGTGGACTGCGAAGTCTACATCAACGAGCAGTGGATGCTGAGCAAGACCCTCCGTTTGATTTGATACTGTCAATGATAGTCATAAGGAGTTTGTGCAGGGTGATGAGGTTCACTTACTAGTAGTTTGGAATAACATCCTTCAATCTACCTGCACTATTGCGGCAAGGTATGTTGACATGTTATTGATTCAGGAAATTGCAATAATGTAGTTTCAGGGAAGTTTTCCCAAATTGGGGTTGGCAATAGAAACGCATTTGAATCCTTACAAACCGTCTTGGATTTAAGAGGGAGTTGAAATGTAAAGTGCTAGAGATTAGGGTCAGGGTTAGAAGAGAGAAAGTGTAACATTTGTGCTCTTCAAGTCATTGGAACTACATCTAACTCCTTTGTTGTTAGAAATGAAACCCTTTTAATTGATCTTATAACTTTAATTAGTGTATCATCTTAGTGTACGACTACAACCTTTGGACTGCTTGTTGTTGGGGCTTCATTCTAGACCCTTGATTTACTTTAAATGGGGTTCAGACGAGAG